CCCATCTTCCTCTACTTTATATGGGACGCCACCACAGCATGGCTTGACAAGTGGTGCATTGGTGCGCGCCCGGGATCCGAACCTGTGAACCCTGGGCCGCCGCAGCAGAGTGCATGCACTTAACTGCTTGCGCCACCGGGCCGGCCCCACTACTAACTTTTAATTCTTTGTCTCTCACAGTTCTTTCCAAATGTTTCTATTACTTTACTGAAAGATACTTTTTTTTCCCTGCTAAAATTTTCCTTCTTTTCATTTGCTACCATTTGGGCCTTAATAGAATCCTTTGAGAATCTAAAGCAGTGCTTCCAATAGCACTCTCTGTGGTGATGGAAATGTTCTGTTTCTGCTGTCCAGCGTGGTAGCTACCATGTGGCTCTTTGGTTAATGAGTGCTTGAAATGTGGCTTGGGGGACTGAGGAACTAAATTTTTAATTTTATTTAATTTAAATAGCCACATGTGGCTAGTGATTCCCGTATTGGATAACACGGATCCTGAGCATTTCTAATCCTTCAATTCCGGCCAGTTTTTGAAAACAGTGATATGTTCTGTATTCAATCTTAGCCAATTTGTTGAAGAAAGTTATAATTTTTTGTGTGTGTGTGTGAGGAAGACCGGCCCTGGGCTAACATCCGTGCCCGTCTTCCTCTACTTTATATGGGATGCCGCCACAGCATGGCTTGACAAGCAGTGCGTCGGTGCGCTCCTGGGATCCGAACCGGTGAACCCCGGGCCGCCACAGCGGAGCGTGCGCACTTAACTGCTTGCGCCACTGGGCCAGCCCCGAAAGTTATAATTTTTTTAATAGAGAGGTAGCTTGAGGTTAGTGCAGCTTTTTCCAAAGTGTGGAACTTGCCCCTGGTACATAAGATAATTTTAGTCGTTTCACAGACATGGTATCAAATTCAATTGACATTGTTCCTTTCTCAATAATTTTTGCATCTTAATTAAATCAAAATGTTTATATATGTGTGTATGTTTTTTTTTTTAATAAAGAAGGAATAGTATCAACCTCAATCTGGTAGACAAGCTGATACTCTTTGGCTTTTACTGTATTAAATTTTATGGTTACCGTCTATTTATGGTTTGTGATAGTTTTTTTTTTTAATTGCCTATAGTGATTAAAATCTTTCCTTTTAGGAACAACATTTTTTGGATAATAAGTGTGGTACACATTTTTTTTTTTTTTTAA